CATAATTTTCATGACTGACACTTCGATTATAGTGCCTGCCTTTCATGACTCCAGGTAGTGATCCTTGTGCCACTGTTCCAGCTTCAAGTAGGACATCAGCTAGCCCCAAATCTTCAAAGCGATTTCCAATGACACTGAGAAATGACATGCAGGTGTGGAACTCACCAAGTCTGACAACTGTTTTTTGCATATACATGGCATCATTCCAACGTACTTGCTGTGCTTTAGCATAAAATGCAAGATCAAATGTTAATACAATACATTCAGTTTCAAGCTCATCAGCAATAGCAAGACTTTTCAAAAATACTGCATTCACAGTACTTAGCTAAGTTGGGTTACCATTGACCACAGGCAAATATCCAATATTGCTTTTTGGTGGTATTTGGTCCTGTAATAAAACAATATTGAAACCTGTCCAACCTGGAATTGGAGTAGTGTTTTGGTTGTCACTTTCACAGTGCATATTGATCATGGTCATAGCCAAATCAGTAATGCTTGTTTTGGTCTCACAAAATGATTTAAATAAAGCATTTTGAATGCTGTCAATTGAAACTGAAGGTAGGAAAGGGCCTACTCTTTTTGCCACATAATATTCTGGTATGGGTGTTTCATTTAGCATCACACTGCGCTTCTTACTCCTGATCATTTGGGGCTGGTCTTTTTCTATTGCGACATCTTCAATATGTGATAAGTGATCAGAAGTTAGCTGCTGCACTATGATCCCATTTGTATTATGGGTTGTTCCCTTACCACTCAGAGTTTCTTCTCCAAAGTCATTATTATCCCAGGCTAAATGTGTAAAAGTCTTCTTTTTAAGACCCTCTGGAATGTTACTTTTTGATAGTTGTTGTTCAGCCAAAGCCGTATCCAGTTCTAGAGTTGTGCTGTGGCTTATAGAGTGCCCAAACCCATTTAAAAATTCCTATAAGTTTTGACTGACCAGTCCAGTGTCGAACAGCCATTCCCAGTGCATAATGCTTTGGTAAAAACAAATTTTCTCTGTGAGAAAGGTTCAGAATATCTTGTGCTATGGCAAGTAGATTTCTCTTATCTTTCTCAGACACAGTAATAAATCTATTCTTCATTTCAACTTCATCAGAAAGACCACACATCAATGCCAATGCATTAAAAAGTTCTACAGGAATTATCTTCATAGCACATTCTGTAGTTACACTATTGCTCTTAGGAGGCCAAGATGTTGGTGATTCCACAGAAATAATCTGATTTCTTAAATACATGCTAGTATGATACAAATTGTACCTATTGCTTTCATCGCCATCAAAATGTATTGCACAAATATTTGGGGAATTCATTTTCGCCGTATTTTAAAATTTTTGAATTTAAGGGAGATAACTACTAGCCTAAGAAACGTCATATTTACTCAATTATTACCTCCCTTTATTGATTTTTATGCTCAAATTTACCGATAAAATATTCAATTTAAAATGCAATTTATAAAAAAATGCGCAATTCTCACCTGGAGAACTTTTTAGATTTAGACTCTATGGCATCGAAACTCCTGAAATCAAGTAAAATTTTTTCATATAAATTTTATGTCCACGGAATGAAACGAAAATCGAACAGTAGGTTACCGTATCTTTCTGCAGTAGACTGGTTGCTGACCAATGCTATAGGACCCAGCCTGTTCTGCTATTCAACCCATAGCTGAGGTGAAATTGATTCAGGCCATTCTCAAAATTAGAACCAAACTGGAATTCAAATTCCTTTCAGATTTCAATTTGAGCTGATTTCCATTTCATCCTAACATATATCAGTTAACAAATGAAATTGAAGCAAGTCACATTGTATACACTCTTAATAACTTCTTTTAACTTTGTAGAAAAATACCTTTTCATGGTGAATTAAAAAGTGGTTTGAAGAATAGAAAAAATCTAAAATTTAATTAAATTTTCAAAATGTGAACATTTTTTAAAAGAATTGTTTTTTCATTTTTGCAACTGTTAGATTATTTTTTGTTTAAGTTCAAGAAGCAAATAATTCTTTGACAGCAACCAATTTATAGTATCAGTTCTTTATCAATCCCCAACCCATATTTTTGCTACACTTCCTTTAGTTTAATAAATTGTAAAATCAGAATAAATAAAAATGACTTTATTGAATGCAATTAAATAGTTCATGCCATTGTTGCATTGCAGTTCAGACCAGACACCAGGTTCATTAACAGGGTGCAGTTTCTTTCAGTCAAATGCTTGTGGCTTGAAAATTACCCTTTGGCCAAATTGTTACTCACGAGTGACAAACAAAACACTTTTCTAGCAGTAAACCAGATGTTATTCTTTGACTTTAATGCTATAAGCGAGTGAAGTTAAGTTGAGACGTAAGTGAGGTGGTGGTAGGGAGTTGTGCAGTCAGTAGTCATCATCTGTGTTTCTGCAAGGTCTGCATCATTCCTTCTCTTCTGCCTTTGTGCAGTATGGTCAGCTTGATAGGCAACAGGCTGCTTTGTCCTGTCACCTTTGTCCCAAAAAACAATTAATATTACTTCCATCACTTCCTCTCAGTCTGCGCCTCTTGTACGTTGAAGTTGTCTCCAATTACTGATAGCCATGGGACAAAAGTAAGTGTTCCATATCAAGTTGTCTTAAATTTAACTCATATTGCTACACCATCAAATATTATTATATAAAATTAAAGTTTTGGGGATTACCCTCATTTCGTCTGCTGAGAAACCCATTAAGTGATGCTGTTTTATATTATAAAAGACTAGACATAACATTCATCTTTCTTCTCTTTTCTATTGAGAATGTGGTAGCAATGCTACCATAAGACAAGTCACCACTGGAGAAAATTTCTTACCACCATGCAAATGAACTTTTACATCCACACATTTCCTAATAGTTAAGTTTTATTGTTTTTCCTTTTCAACTGTGTACATACTAGTATATTTTTAAGTTAATCATTTAACAAAAAATAGACAAAAATATCTCCATGTTGATTGAAAATTATTCCTTTTCTCTTTTTAATTCTACAAATGATGACAACCCATCATGTGAAAAGCTTGGTTACTTTTAGTTGAGCTAGAAGTAGTGACTGAAACAAAGTTTACCCTACATGCAAGCCACCAATCTGCCACTGGGTGGTATGCCACTAGTGTTTACTGCTAGTGGCCTGCTGTCGAATTGCTGGCATGTTCATCTTGGCAATGTTACCACTTGCAAACTGCTAGTGGCCCACCATTGGCTGACACCAGAGGACTGCTGGCATTGCCATTGGCGGTCTGCCAGCAGGCCATTAGCATCTTGCATGTAGGGTAAACTATTGTTATATATGGTTAATTCATTTTTAAACAAACAATACCAATTTCTACACTGTAGTAGTTTTGGTTCTTCAAAACTATTTTAATTTTACAAACTTTTTAAAAGTTGCGGGTGACAATAGAAGACTACTGTTGTCGACCTTGAACAGCACATGGGCTACCATGATAAATCAATATTATTTTCGCTATGTTGCAAGCAAGAAGTAAGCACTTTTACAAAATTCAGTTAATCCTTAAATTTACTTTGAAACAAAGCTGTAGGAAAATATTGAACTTTTAAATGACTTTTTTTTAAAATTTATTTTCATTTTTTTGTCTATAATAGACAAGACAAAGTCACAAATGGTTGAGTTTCTTTTCCAAAATAAAAGAAAGGGTAGAAAAAAAAAGTATTCATTAACGGATGAATTGTACTGAATATGGAAATATTTTTTTTTTGGTGGGGGGTCTATCATCCCACCCCTTTTCGATATCTCGCATAACTTTTTTTTGGTTGTGTGAATGTTTGTGAATAAATAAATGTTTAATATTTTTTTGTCATCAATTCTCACGAACAAAGAAAATGTATAAATACACTTTCATGTTTGGGTTTTATTAACTTATCCTTGTTTTTTTTGTTTTTTTTAAACAAATTGCCGAGTGAATAAAGAGAGTACAGTACAACACTAACAGCGATGTCAACAGCGCCTTTTTGACACACAGTTTTCTTTTTTGGGGGATGGGGTACAACGAAAATATAAAATTTGCTAAATAACTGTACCTATTTTATTTTTTTTATTTTGAATTTTTAAAAGTTATTGAATTATCGTCATGAATTCATGACGAACTCAATCAGAGACGGTAATTCAGAATTATTTCCTTTTTGAACATCCACACAAAAAATAATCTAAAAGTCGCTCAAATTAAAAAAAATAAATAATTATTTAAATTCTTTAAAAAAAAAAAAAAAAAAGAACCTCACTCACATGTCATTCTTCTCGCTTACATTTTTCGATTCTTCAAACATGTTTTTTATTTAAAAAAAAAAAAAAAGTTTCACAAACAGCAACTGGATGAATTTCTTCAAAATAGTACTGAAAAATTAGAAGTAATTTTTAAAAAAATTACTTCTAATTTTTCAGTGTAGGACAAGTAGATTATTTTTCTTTATGTATCAACTGAAAGAAAATAACGTGGTTATGCAAGTACTAATTCTTCAAAAAATTGAGTTTTTCTAATTATTTTTGGATGCGGGACGAATTTTCCGTGTATTCACACTTGACTTGATATTGCATAATTTTTTACTGAAAATTTTTTCAGAGATTTCTTTATATATGAACATCCATAAAATTAAAAAGTTCACAAGAAATATCGAAAAAAGGAAGGATACTCAACCAAGTCAAATATTTCCAGTGTTTTCTAATAAAATAACTTATAATTCCCCGATTTGGTGGTACCAAAAACTTTTTTTAAAATAATTCTTTCAAATAAAACAAAATATTATTAATTAATAATCATTTTTCAATGTCAAAGAAGACATTTTTAAAATTATTTAAAGTGCCACTTCGTTCGCTTCCACAAAACAAAAAGAAAAACTGCAGCAAAAAAAAAAAAAAAAAAAAACTATAGGGAAAAAAAAACTTAGTTCAACCAAATCCTTAGTTTTGTTTTCAAAATAAATACTATGTCAATTTATTCGTAAACAAAATATAGACGAGAAAAAAAAAAAAAAAAATAACCTTACCCGGACGAGGTTCTGGACCAGTACCTTCAAATCTTTCCTTAGATCGTGCATCAACTACCAGACATTCTTGGGTGTTTATATTTTGTGCAACTTGCTCGAAATTCTTAACTAAGTGGGGACGATAAGTGGCAGAAAAGACTCGTCTTGGTGTAGTGATTAGTTGCTGAGTCACAGGAAGTCCTAAGCTACGCCATTTCGGAATACCGCCGTCGAGGATGGAAACATTATCGTGGCCAAATACCCGAAAAGTCCACCAAACTCTTGGTGCCGAGAAAAGACCAAAATCTTCATTAGTGTCATATATGACTACATGCGTGTTATTATCAATGCCTAATGTACTTCCAACATAATTTTCAAAATGATTTGTTGATGGCAACATGTGCGGTAAAGGAATTTCAACATCGGAGCATTCATCGATGTCAAAGAATAATGCCCCTGGAATATGTTCATGTTGATATTCAGCTTTTGCATTTCGGTTAGCATTTGGTAAATGATATGAACCATCTAATATCCGAATACTTGATTTTTCACTGATCTTTCTGGCCAACCATTTAGCCGATACTACGGTAGCTGCTTTAGCTTTAATCATTTTCTCCTGTTTAAAAAAAAACAAAAAAACGAGGACATTTACGAATCTATATAGAAGGTTATGAGGCTCTATAAAAAAAAAATATGTTCCTTTTTTTCACATTTTAATTATAGTCTAATTTACATACAGAGGTAAAAAAAGTAAACTACTAAAAAAAGATAAAAACAAAAAAGATACTTCTTCCTTTTAAAATTGAACTTCATTTTACATTTTACAATGAGTGAAAAAAAAAAAAAAAGGAAAGCTATTTTTAATTTTAAAAAATTATTCTTCACTAAGTAAGTAGTTTTTTTTTTCTTTTTGGTCTTCATAAAAAATGGAGAATTAAAAAAAATTGTATGTGGTTTGGTCATTCTTCCTTTTCCTTGTTAGAATTGAAAAATAAAAATTTAAAAATCAGTGATTTAATGATTTAGAAGACTAAGAGGGGTCCTGTTATGGATACAGTGCGTAAAACTCAACCCCTGACTTTGAAGTTATTTAATTTTTATGACTCCTTGATTTTTTTTGTTTTTTTATTTACAAATGTCAATTTTGAAAATTAAAAGATCTTTTAGTAAAAAAAAATAATAATCCAGATAACTGTAAAAGTTGTGGATCGATTTTATTTTTGCACAGTACTCAAACTAAATGTTTATGAACAAAATCACACTAATTAAATAAAAATAGATTTTAAAAAATCAATATTTTTCGATTTGAGTTGACAAATACCGTGGCCAAGAATTAAAGGATGCCGATTTTAAAAAAATTCCTTCTTTATTTATTTTTTACGAATGGACTAGAGCAGTCTAATTTTCACCAAATAATTACCTAGTGTCAGAGATCACTTCGACGTGGTGTAACGGTTAGCAAGCTTAAATCAATTACATAATAAGAAATGTGTAGTGAGTCCGATTCGCAATGAGTGATCTAAAAACTAGGGAGGCACGGTGGAGAATGAATAGTGGCTCAGATTGAGGAATCGGAGAGCCGAGTTCAAATTCCAGTCGAATCCATTACATTCACTTACATGCTTGAATCCTCATCATCTCTCACCAGCTATAGGTAAATAGCAGGACAGGCCGGCTTCTATAGCCTTGGATGGCAACTGGTCTACTGCAGAAAGAAACAGCAACCTACTGCAGGAAAAAAATCTGCCTCGTCAGTCATGTATCGAAAAATACATGATCGCCTAAGCCGAAGCGTGTACCAGGCATGGGACATAAGTGACTCACTAAGCTTACTAAATAAATCTCAACATAGTGTGTCAGAGGTCACTTCGACATGGTGTAACCCCACTGTTAGTAAACCTGTCTTTCTATCAAATACAACTGAGAAGTGAGTTTGATCCTCACTGGGTGTTCCATGCTCGCTACATTACTGTGCCAGTGACCATTTTATGAAGGTCCTGATTTCAGAGAATTTGAAACGAATATTTGGTTACTTATTTTAATGCATCATTTTATTAACAACTAGCAGTAGAGCCCGGGGATGTAACAGTAAGAGATAGATCAATATCGACCATCATAAAGACTGAAAAATAAAATTGACAAAGATTATTGTTTAAGGTTGACGGACACACATGTCTTAATTATTTTTTATTTTGTTTTTCTTTTACGAATTGGTCAAACCCAAACTCAAACAAAAACATTGTTTTCAATCGTTATGAGTCTACCGATTGAATAGAATTTTATTATAAACAATTGTCTTGTAAATGGAATTTTTAAAGCATTCTGAATGTAAAAATAAAGAAAAAACTGTGCAAGACAATAAGAAACACTGCCTGCCAAAGAAAAGTGAAGTTTTGTTGAAATCAGTTGAAAAATGTAGGAAATCCGATCCCATATATAAACAAACACGGACACACACACACACACACACACACAAACAACCTGGGTTTTATAAGTATAACTCGATATGAGTTGTTCCCCTTTCATTCTCGTGACAGCGATGCCTCTTAATCGTGTTTTCAAATTGATTTTGTGCAAAAACAATTGTGTTTTTCCAATTTTTGGCGCTGTCAGAACCACCGCAAGGTAATTTTATGTAGTCCTGTGAAGTTTTGTTGAAATCGGTTGAAAAATGTAGGAAATCGGATCCAATATATAAACGAACCGGCACACACACACACACACACGCAACCTGGGTTTTATAATAAGTATGATTATTGCCACGTGACACAAAGAAGTCAGTACATTGTTTAAACAAATTAGCCATAATAAAACTACTTTTTATAGCCATCTATCATTTACATTATTGCCAACTTAGTAATTTGTTGAGTTCCTGAAAAAAAAAAAAAAATGGGACAAGACTGCAGTTGAATATGTAGGTACCCAAAGTGTACAAGGGTGATGTTTTCTTTTTTTAGTACATTTTTTTGTTTACAATTTCAAAATATTTGTAGGAAAGTAAATAATTATAAATCTCCTAACATTTATATAAACAAAAATACTCATAAAAATGTGAAACAGCAAAAGACATGGAAACAACAAAACAAATATTATTTATTATCTGGTTGTTATGTATTGTTGGAAAAAAGGGGAGACGGTAATATTGTGTAAAATTGTGAGTTTGTGGTCAAATGTAGATCAAATATGGATCAGAATCTGACAAAAGGATAAGATAATGAATAAGCAAAGGATATACTTGTATGTTTTCTTTTATAGATGTGTGCAATGAGTGTCCAGATAATTAAGTTGGAAAATACAAGAAGTGTCTGAGGTTTTCTTACCTTGAATTTTGTTGAGTGCTAAAAGATAAATGTTACTATTATGGCCTGGAAAGGAGATAAAATTTTCATTGATGCATGTTTTGATGACCTGTCTATGTGAACTGCTTGTCTGATAGAATATCATGTGTTTGTGTGTGTGTAGTGGGGTTGATTTTCATTGTTTAGAATGAGTGAAATAACGATAATTATAATTGTTATTATTATTTTATTATAATTATTTTTTAAAACTATAACTGATATTAATTTATTATTTATGGACACAAAACTGGTAGGATAATTAATTTTTTATTTATGTATTTTCTTATGGCCGTGACAAACTGCCCTCCAGATCATTAGAAATTTATTTCTAGTGTTACATAAAAATAATGCTTTAATATCCAAAGTGTGTTTTGTTATGTTGTGACCAATGTACTTGTCTTCCAGACCTTGTTCTTTGTTATTGTTTCTGATGGATTGTCATCTGCTTTACTGGATGTTTGTTCATCCATCTTTTGTGTAGGTTTTAAGTGTGAATGATCATATTTTTCACTTTATTGTAAGAATTGCTTAGCAACATAAGCTATTTTAATTCTGTCAATAACAATATTATCTTTTTTTCTATTTTTTTATGATTAAGTACTTGTTCATTTTGCTGATGACTTGGTATGTGTCTGTGTAGTTTAAACTCAAAGGTTTTTTCATATAAATATATATTTGCAGGTGTAGAGATATATAGGTAGATATATTTTTTGTTGGTTTTCCATGTAGGTGGAAATGCTAATGTTGGCATTCTGTTTTTAAGACCTGTACAAATGTGGGTAAAATCAGGCATGTCTTCACAATATTTATCAGTTAATGGTCATAGTAACTGTTCTTTGGCTAAGAATTGTGCTCTCTGCATCTACTTCCTGAGATGAATGTTAGTGTATTTCAACTATTCACAATCAAAAAGGTTATTTATAAAAACAAACAGGCAAAAGTGGATAAACATGCCCACAATAAGACTTACTCAAAAGGACTGTTTTTTCCCATGGTACTACTTTTTTTAACTACCTTTACTCTTCAGCAATGTTTATTATTTACAAAGATATCATTACAATTGTAATGTTTAATATTTTTTATCTAAAGGACTAAGAGAAAAAAAATGTATAAATTCACTTTCATCATATCTTTAGATTTTCATCAAATGCTAATCATCTCTGAAAAAATAAACATTAAACAAACATTGATGAAGAATAAAGGTAGTGGTGTCATGGGAAACAATTATTCCAGGCATGTTTATACATGTTTGTCACAGAATATGTGCAAATATTTACTTCTCATCTTAACAAAATTTTCCATAATTATCTTTGATTTTAAATTTTCCCCTGCATTTTAAATTTAGGTTCTGATATAATTTTCTTAGTTAATAATGGCTCATTCAAGGTTTTTAACTAAATCTCATTGGGAGAGGTGAAGACAGAAGAGAAATATTTTTAAAAGAGTAAATACTATTCCAACTTTATTTAATGTATGTGTGATACACTGATATACAGGAATAAAGGAAATTTTAAATTGTTAATAATAGTCCATTCAAGGTTTTAAATAATGCACATTGTGAAAGCTAAAGACTAAAGAAAAATAGTTTAAAAGCAGTAAATAGTATTAAGCCATTATATAATGAGTGTGTGATGCACTTATATACAGCAGTAAAAGAATTATTTAAATTGTTAATAATGGTTCATTCACATTTTTTTAATTAAATTCCATTGTAAAATGTAAAGACCAGGAGAAATGGCTTCTAAACAGTAACTACTATTCCAGCATTATTTAATGAGTGTTTGTTGCACTTGTATACAGCGGTAAAAGAACAATTTCAATTATTAATAATGGTTCATTCAAGTTTTTTAAAATAAATCACATTGTAAAAGTTAAATACTCAGGAGAAATAGTTTCCAAACAGTAACTAGAATTCCAGCATTATTTAATCAGTGTGATGAACTTATGTACAGCAGTAAAAGAATAATTTCAATTTTTAATATTGGTTCATTCAAATTTTTTTACCTGCATCCCATTGTAAAAGATAAAGATTCAGTAAAAATGGATTCCAAAAACTAACTAATATTCCAGCATTATTTAATTAGTGTGTGATGCACTTATATACAGCAGTAAAGCAATTATTTCCATTCTTAATAAAGGTTCATTAAAGTTTTTTTTAACTAAATCTCCTTGTAAAAAGTAGTCTCAGCAGAAATGTTTTCCCAGCAGTAAATACTATTCCACCAGAATGTAATGAGTTTTTTGTTTTTTAACTCAAACCTACGGTACAGGA